AGACCCTTGTACCCCTAACCCTTTAGAAAAAAACCCCAGGGATGTTCAAACTTGACAGCTTTAAGACTTGTGGATTTCAACTCCCAGAATTCCTCCTCTCGCTCTTCATCTTGATGAGATGCGGACGCGTGGGGGGAGGGAGCTGGAACTGGTTCTAAACGGCACTGTAGATTTGTGAAACCTCTTCTATAGAAGAGGTTAGAACTGGCAGGAACCCACCCCTACCCAACACCCACAAGTCCATCACATGGTCCAATCTTTTACTGCCATGAAGACAGATTCCTCCCATCCATATCTGGCCAGGTACAGAGACAAAAGTGACGTTGATTTTCTAAGAAGAATGTTATTATGGCTACACATCACCCAACTCCACATAATCCCTCCCCCCATTTTCCCACAGTAGAAAGTGTGGCAGGCCTGAAACCCAAAAAGAAAAGATGGCTTACAGGTCTGACAATTAGCTTTCTTCTGATATGTTTTTCTTTTAGGGAGAAGCAGGAATTGATGGAATAAAAGGTGAAAAGGGTATCCAAGGAGAAAAAGGAGATCGGGGTCCTCTGGGACTGCCTGTAAGTATCTAGAAAGAAAGGGAAATCATAACAAGAAATGACAATGAATACAATTTACTCACGAGAATACTTCAGATATCTCTCAGAGAAGCATGTCACTTTAGAATGATATTCTTGGTTTTCAAAAATCAGAGGAAATTCTTCCAGATAATTATTGCCTGGGTAATGTTGACATGAAGAAAAGTGCTTCAGTGGATTGCAACATTATTTTATTCATAGTCATGGAAAAATGGTTTCAAATGCTAGTTCAGATGCTGAAATATGCAAGAAATAACTCACAGAATTCATTTATTCACAACTAGCCGATAGCCCAGCAATGCCCGGGCATTTATTTATAGGGGGAAAATGTCCCCCTATAATTTTCCCCCTTACCATAGGGAGCTTCTTAGTGGAGTACTGTAAAGCCGTTACCATGGCAACTGCACTGCACTGCACAGTAGAAGCCATTTTATGGCACAACAGGCTGTATCTTAACAGAACACACATCCCAATGGGTTTTAGGAGTGTCTTACCTCCCACAGTATTTGTTTCCAGAGAGTAAGCCATTTGTGTACCAAGTTCAGTTAAAATTGCTCGAGGCGTTCCAGAGTTATGCTGGAACATACACACACACAGCCATTTAGATAGATGATAGATAGATNCATAGGTTCGCCATCACAGGGTTAAACCTTTTAAGGCCATGAAGGCTATGGCATGTGTGCTCTTCTGGCACGGGCGCCGTCGCTCCAAGTTAGATCTCTGTAGCGTTTCTTTCATGAGCTTTTTTCCCTGCGAAACAGAAGCTCGTGAAAGAAAAAGATCTTACCTCTTGCCGCAACATCCCTAATTTAACCGAACTGCAAATATATTGTCCACACCTACCTGCATTTTTACAATTTTCAGCGTTCGCACATCATTTGTTATTTACTTTTCATCCTTTTTCCTTGCATATCTGCATTTACAGCATTCATTTCAACTCTACTGACATCACTATAATTGCTGTACAAATCTCTGAAATTCTTTATCCAGCCTTCCCTGTCTTCACTTCCCAAATCGTTTCATTACTTTTATTTTTAATTCGACTTGTTTTCCCTCTTCAGCCACTTCCAAGCATTTTTTTAAAAATCCCATTAAAATGATGCTGCATCTTTTCTTACTCGTAATCATATCTGTTCTTTGCTCTCTCTGTCTACCTTCTTTGCAACTTTCTTTTTTTTGGTATACGCATTAAATAGTATAGGTAGTCCTTGACTTACAACCATTTGTTTAGTGACCATTTGAAGTTACAACGACATTGTAAAAAGTGACATGACCATTATTTACACTTGCAACCTTTGCAGTATATCCATGGTCAACTCATCAAAATTCAGATGCTTGGCAAGTGACTCATATTTATCACAGTTGCAGTGCCCCGGGGTCATGGGATCATCTTCTGAAGCCTTCCGAGAAGCGAAGTCAATGGGGAAGATGGATTCACTTAACAACCGTGTTACAAACTTAACAACTGCAGTGATTCACTGTGACAAAATGTCATAAAATGGGGCAAAGTCATTTTAAAACTGCCTTGCTTAGCAATGGGAATTTTGGACTAGGTGGTGATCATAACTTGAAGACTACTAGTATCTTTCTTTATTTCTTGTTCCTCCTTTTTTTTGCAGCAATCATTTTTATGCACCTTTTTTTCTCATCCATATCACATTTTTACATGAACATCCCACAAAGCGTCCTCATCCAGTGCTAGGAACACCACTCCACTCTCTGCCTTTCAAATGGCTTCCACATTGTCTACCTTATGTTGGAACAATGGCCCCTTTATGACCTGTGGACTTTGACTCCCAGCTGACTCAGGAATTCTGGGAGTTGAAGTCCACAAGTCATAAAGGGGCCATCGTTCCTCATGTTGACTCAGGAATTCTGGGAGTTGAAGTCCACAGGTTGTAAAGGGGCCATTGTTCCTCACCCCTGCTTAATGTACCCTTTCCATTCATTCTCTTGGGAGATTCAGTTATCTTTTCAAATAGGAGTTGAAACTTCTCTTTTTCCAGTCCTTAGCAAAATGTCACCTCGCCATTGCTATATAAATGCTTTTGGGATGTCACCAAGTCCTTTTCTCTGTATAACTCCTGTTTAGAAACCTACTGGAGAAGAATTAGTGTCAGGGCCCAAAAAAATAGCCCGAACGAAATAAAACTCCAAGGCTTGAGTCCAGGGGTGAGTTCCGGCAGAGACTACTGCTGGTTTGCTCAGGGCAATTCCGCGCACATGCACATGCTTGAGGTAAGCTGCACACGCATGTGCAGTACAACTAAAAACAAAATGGCACCACCTACCGTGTCACCAGGAGAACCGGTTCGGGGGCATGGCAGGCCTGGGTTGCTGCCAGTTCCAGTGACCCAGGCCACCAAGCTACTACCAGTTCAGCTGAACTGGTACTACCGGTTCGGTCTGAACTGGTAGGAACCCACCACTGGCTTGGGTTTCCTCAAAGTTCCACTTTATTAGAGATATCATGTTGGCACATCTGGGAAAACCCGAATCTGGAAGCTTCCAAGTTTTCCCATCCAATTGAAAGTTCAGGATCCTGCCCCAACACCAGTGGTGGGTTTCAAAAAATTTTAGAACCTCTTCTGTAGGTGTGGCCTGCTTTGTGGGAGTGGCTTGCCAGCCATGTGACTGGGTGGGCATGGCCAACTTGTAAAATTACTTAACAACACTCTTGCTTAGCAACCAAAATGTTGGCTCAGAAACTCTGGCATTTGAA